GAGTATTTGACTGTTACTCGGAAATTGTTTTATAGAAAAGTTTGGCAATAAATCGAATATTTCACTCACTTCAAAACATCTAATCTTACTGCATTGCGTGGTGTTTCTACTCTAAATTTCAGTATCACAATAGGATATCATGCGAGTTTCTCTCTTAAAATATCGTGTTCCGAGACGAATATGTCGTTTCGGTTGAGATTTTGAAGCAGTTCTTTGAAGCGTAATGAATTTACTGAACAATTTATAATCTGAATGTGAAAATTTATTATTATCTATAAGGTGGAGGAGGACTTAAGTGAGCCTCTGTTTCGGTGCTAAACTGAAATATCATGGTGATAGTTGAATCTGATGATAGCTGATGAGCGTAAGCGATGATAACATTTTTAAGGTCACATCGTCTTTCTCAATTGTTAACATCATATTCGGATTAGGAATGCTGTCAAGGTATTTGGCATGAGTTTGGCTTAAAACTGCAGATTTCATGCGTTGACATTGTGGAACCTACTGTTAGGAAGATTGTAAATGTTAATCGTTTCGTAAGTTTATCGTGTTCGCAGAAATACTCAAATAGTGAACAACCTGCAGATGATGTGCGGCGTCTCGAACGAGTAGTCTTGAGGTGAAGAGTTTTGTGGCCATTTCGGAGAGTTTGAATTGATTCCATTGGAATTTCGACAGATGTCTGTTGAACTGTTTTCGAACGTGCAAATGCTCAATGGCTAAATCCAAACTCATTTGTGCGGCACCTAACGAACACGATGCGATATTCACACGACCACCGTTCAGACCAGCCATTGCTATGTTGAAACCTGTAATCCGACGTGTTATCTGCCCGAATAGCCAAAAACATCTGTGAAAGGTTAGATTTAACACGATGTTCAGGATTGAGATTGACTAGGTATCGGATCGTGGTGCAGACTGATACTGGAGCTTACGGTCAAACTTTGGTTCGAATAGGGATCGATTATGGATAAACTGAGTGAAATTTTATGATCAAATTGCAGAACTTAGCGATTTCACTTAATCTTCTCTAAGTTGATATATTGTATGAAGAATATTATACTATCATCAGGGTATGGCAAGGGTATGCTAGAAAGCGATTTGTAGCATCCGACGATAATCTGGTATGGTATTATTTGCAATCACTANATAAATTGAGTGAAATTTTATGATCAAATTGCAGAATTTAGCGCAATTTAATCTTTTCTAAGTTGATATAGTGCATGAAGAATATTATGCTATCATCAGGGTATGGCAAGGGTATGTTAGAAAGTGATTTGTAGCATCCGACGATAATCTGGTATGGTATTATTTGCAATCACTACTTCGAGAAGGGGTTTGAGTCTTAGTTTTGAAAGGAATCGCTTGATATGACGGGATAAATCGCAAACAGACGATTGTTTCTCGTATCGTTCAGATATTCTAAACGAAAGGTGGTCATCTTGTCTAGTTTCTTAAGCTATTTCAGGATGCACACCTTTTTTGCTAAATTTCATATGTGTTCACGGCATTCATCATTTGTGGAAGTTAATTGAAATTCTGTTTAGTTTTACAAGCGATTTTTTTTTGAGTCACCTTCATTTTTGGAGCCGATTTGATTGCTCACAGGCACACGACAATCCTCGAAAGTGATTGTCCGAGTTGGTTGTGACCTCCAGCCAAGTTTCTTCTCTTTCTTGCCTAAATGTAATCCAGGTGTATCAGCTTCAACCTGAAATTAGGATAAGTGACTTATCGAAATTTTCGTTAGGTCCCTTCTTTTCTTTCTTTTCAACTATGATACTCCAATGACCGTTATCTTATACAGTAATGCACTGAAGTCAGTTCTAATGAATACAGCAATTTTGATGAATATTATGAGAGAAATGCGTTTGAAAAGGAAAAAACTTTCAGCCAGGCAGAATATGCCTTTGGGACCGGTTTGTCCTTCGTGTCGCATCATAACCAAATAAAGTTTCGCATCCCCGCTGCCACTGATAAAAGCTTTCGATCCATTCACTACATAATAGTCACCGTCTTGTTTCGCACTTGTTCTCAATGCAGCCGCATCTGATCCTAAAATTTCAACCGGATTGTTTGACTTAGCTGACAGTTTCATCAGTGCCTTTCGGTGAATTGAAGCGATTGCGAAAGTTTAAACTGATAAAAAATTTTCTCAGGAATCAAGCGGAATTTACTGAAATGTTATACCTGAATCCGGTTCTGTCAGGCAGTATGAGGCC